GAGTGGGACAAGGCGGCGCGCGCGTGGCCGAGTGTGTATGTGTGCGCCTGTCAGTCAACGCTGACAGGCCGCAGCCCATTGGCCAGGCCCCGCCCGCCTCACCGCCCACCGCCACCGCCCATTGGGCGGTTTGAACACAAAGGCCCCCGGCTCGCCCCGCCCGCCGCGTGCGACCCGAGGGCCGGGCGTGTCCAGTTGCGAGTCTGCGCGTGGGTGGCGCGGGCGTGGGGGCGACGCCTCGGCGCGGGAGCGCTCGCATGGACCGGGAAGGCTGGGGCTCTGCCGGGACTCACTGCGCACTTGACACTCGGCCCAGTGGTTCAGAACACCTTAGGGCTCCCTCATGCGCCCCATCCCACACAGATTTTGGGATTCTAGACAAGGCCGCGGCGTCCCGGCGCCCTTCAGTCTGACTCGACAAGGCCCGAGTCTTAGCACCTTATAGATATTGGGTGGTTGGGGGACACAGGCTCCCCGAGGATGGCCCGAGGAGATGGGGAGCAGGAGTGGTAGAAGACACCCTGGCCGGAGTAGGTCGTAGTTAGCCCTCCACGGCCTCTCAAACGATTGTCGAAAGCACATGCGTAGTTGTCGTCTTAGCCAGGCTTTTCTATGCTCTTTTCACAGATTAGGAAACAGGCTCAGAGGTTCTAAGCGATTTGTTTCAAGTCACACAGCTAGAAAGACGAAATTGAGATTAGAAGATTCTCTGCACATCCAAGCCGGTGTTTTCCGTTTCAGGGTCGATTTTGGGATTCTAGATATGGCAGGAGGGTCTGCCACTTTCCAATCTGCCACCAGAAGTCCTGAGTTTCAGGACAGAAGCTTTTCTCAGTTTTAAGGAGGGAGCCAGCCACAACTGGTGCTGGAAAGGCAGGCTGACTCCTTGTTTCTCTGCCTTACTCAGATGTGCGGTGTGCAGTGAGCATGGGTAGATACTGAATGTGTAAAATGTAGCCTGACTTCAGGGATCCTGTGCCCTGGCTCCTCACAGGCACAGCTTGAGAGGAGTCACTTCCTGTGATTCTAAAGGAAGCTCCTCTAAGGGAAGATGAAACAGGTTGTCGTTATTTCACTTTTAAAATGCCAAGAGGAAGAAAGAAAACATGACAAAATCACTGGGACCGGACGGGGAAGGCGCTGGGGGTAGGGGATTGAGGAAATGCGCAGCCCTTGCGCTAAGTTGACTTCAGAGGAAAACGAGCCTCCCTCCCCCTCCCTCCCAGGGCCTCTGCCGCCCCACCTGGAAAAGAGGGGCCTCACCTGCACTTACAGCATCTTGAAGAGAATGGTGCTGGTCAGCGTTGCTTCCGGTGTTACGTGAAGAGCTCCCTGAGGTCAAGGGCTGGCTCTGCAGGGCTCGACCCAGGGCCTGGCTCATGTCTGCGTATCTGCCGAACGTGGAACGAGGGAAATGAGAATTCGAATCAGATTGAGGGGCAGCATCTCGGTAAGGGAGGGGCCCTCTCTTGACACCTTCTCCTCACCAGGGTGCTCAACTCTCCAATTCTGTGCTAGCAAATTCCAGGGGAGTCTCCAGATCCTGCCACCTCCATTGCAGAACCTGATGCCTCCCTTCCTCTCTGGCAGAAGGACTTGCCTCCCAGGATGTGCTGGTTTGTGAAGCAGGAGGCGGTGTGCCTTCCCCTGGTCTCAGACAAGGGCCGTGCCCACAGGCATGGAACCTGCAGCCCTGGTTCCAGGCCAGGTGCACCATCTGCTCTGTGACCCTGGGCCAGCCACCTCTCTGAGCCATTTTCCTCATTTGTACAATGCGAATAATAACAACCATCTCGTCTGTCACGTGACTGGCCACGTGACCTCGGACCAGCCGACAAGGCTCTCTGGCCTGTTTCCTCGTTTGTGAGGGTGAGAGATGAACTGCTTGCTGCAACACAAAGGGCTTTGCCACCAGTGGTCTTTGGGAGGAGAAGCAGGGGGCAAGGCTCTCTGGCCTGTTTCCTCGTTTGTGAGGGTAAGTGAGAGATGAACCGCTTGCTGAAACACAAAAGGCTTTGTCACCAGTGGTCTTTGGGAGGAGAAGCAGGGAAATTGGGCCCCTGGTCTGTCCTGGACTCATAGTCAAGTCAGGTGT